AATAAAACCCAAGATGTACACAAGATTCTTTCAAATGGCTTCAAAAACAATATCAAAATCACGAGAATCATTCAAATTACTTCAAAACCACAACGTCAAGGCCCACACTTCAAAAAACAAAGCACATATTAAAAAAATCAAGACCAAAATAATAATTCTACTTTAAAAACAAATGCAAGATTCTTTCAAAAACAAAATCCAAGAAATCCACGAAATTCTTTCCTATTGCTTCAGAAACAAGAGATTCTTTCAAATTACTTCAAAAACCAGTCACAAGATGTCCACGAGATTCTATCAAACTACTCCAAAAATAAAACACATTTGTCCACAAGATTTTTCAAATGGGTTTGAAAACAAAAGAAAAATCCCGGGATATATTCAAACTACTTTAAAAATACAACATCAATACATTAAAAATTCTACTTCAAGAACAAAACCAGGGAATCCCAGAGATTCTTTCAAACTACTTCAAAAACAAAACCCAAGATGCCCACAAGATTATTTCAAATTGCTTCAAAAACAAAATCGAAAAAATCCCAATTTAATTCAAAAACAAAGCCCACAAGGGGTCTCCGAGATTCTTTCAAATTTTTGTCAATTCAGTTTTGGAAGTTTTCCATTTTTCAGTTTTTCGGTTTTTCACTTTTCCCATCTCGAGACTTCACGGTTTTTCGATTTTTCAATTTTTCAATTCTTTGATTTTCAGGTTTTTAGACTTTTCGACTTTTCGATTTTTCGATTTCTAGATTTCCCGATATCCAGATTTTTTCGATTTTTGAGTTTTTTGATGTTTTTATTTTTAATTTTTCCAATTTTTAAATTTTAGTTGTTTCAGTTTCTTGATGTTTCGTTTTCACGATTTTTCGAGTTCTCGGTATTAGATTTTTGGGTTTTTCAATTTTTTGATCTTTAGAATTATTGATTTTTCGATTTTTCGACTTCTCGATGTTCTAGTTTTTGAATTTTTCGATGGTGCAACTTTTCGATTTCTCGGTTTTTACCAGTTTTTCAATTTTCGATTTTTTTTGCCAATTTTTCAATGTTCTGATTTTTCAATTTTTCGATTTCCCATTTTTTCGTCATTTCAGTTTTGGAATTTTTCAGTTTTTCGATTCTTACTTTTCCCAATTTTTCAATTTTTCGTTTATTTGAATTCGGGATTTCGATTTCTCCATATCTCCGTTTTTATTATTTCTTTTTTTTCAAAGTTTAGAGTTTTGAACTTTTCAGCTTATCGACCCCTTGATGCTTGAATTTCTCGATTCTTCTTCCAAATTTCTGTTATTTAATTTGTCGAATTTTTAAATTTTTGATTTTTGAATTTTTTCATTTACCAATTTTTCAATATTTTGATGATGATTCGATTTCCAGAGATCTCGGATTTTTGGATTTGATAAATTTTTCAATTTTTAAAATTTTTTGTCTTGACTTTTCGATTTCCCGACCTTTAGATGTTTCGATATCTCGATGTTTCATTTTTTCGACTTTTCAATTTTTCGATTTTTCAGTTTTTCGTTTTTTTAGTTTTCCGATCTCTCGATTTCACGGTTTTTCGATTTTTCAACTTTTCGATTTTTAAATTTTCTGATTTCTCGATTTCACGGTTTTTCGATTTTTCATATTTCCAAAAATTAAACCCAAGATGCCCACAAGATTCTTTCAAATTACTTCAAAAACAAAACCGAAAAAATCCCAATTTAATTCAAAAACAAAGCCCACAGGGGGTCCCCCGAGATTTTTTCAAACTACTTCAAAAACAAAACCCCAGATGTCCAAGAGATTTTTTCAAACCGCTTCAAAACCCAAGAAATCCACGAGATTATTTCAAATCACTTCAAAAAAATTGCCAAAAGGCTCTAAAAGATTTTTTCAAATTTCTTCAAAACCAAAACATAAAAGGTCCCCGAGATTCTTTCAAACCACCTCAAAAACAAAATCCAAGAAATCGACAGGATTTTTTCAAATTAATTTAAAAACAAGACACAAAGTGTTTCCAAGATTCTTTCAAACTAATTCAAAAACCAAATACAAGAAATCCACGAAATGCTTTCCTATCGCTTCAGAAACAAGAGATTCTTTCAAATTACTTCAAAAACCATACCCAAAGTGTCCTCGAGATTCTATCAAACTATTCGTACTCCAAAAATAAAACATATTTCTCTACAAGATTCTTTCAAATGGCTTCAAACACAATTGAAAAATCCCGAGATTCATTCAAACTACTTTAAAAATACAACGTCAATACAATAAAAATTCTTCTTCAAGAACAAAACCAGAGGATCCCCGAGATTCTTTCAAACTATTTCAAAAATAAGGCCCAAACGGTGTCCCCGAGATTTTTCCAAACGACCTCAAAAACCAAACACAAAGTGTCCTCGAGATTCTTTGAAACTACTTCAAAACCAAAACCCAAGTAATCCACTGCACTCTTTAAAATTACTTCAAAAACAAGTCTCACAGAGGGTCCCTGAGATTCTTTCAAACTGCCTCAAAAACCAGACGCAAAATGTCCATAAGATTCAAAAACAAAACCCAAGGAAAACCAAGAGATTCTTTCAAATTACTCCAAAAACAAAACCGAAAAAATCCACGAGATTCTTTCAAATTATTTTAAAAACAAGTCCCATAGGGGTCCTCGAAATTTTTTCAAACTACTTCGAAACCCAAGAAATCCACGAGAATATTTCAAATCACTTCAAAAACAATGGCCAAAAGGCTCTAAGAGATTCTTTCAAATTTCTTCAAAACCAAAACATAAAGGGTCCCTGAGATTCTTTCAAACTACCTCAAAAACAAAACCCAGGGAATCCCCTAGACTCTTTAAAATTACTTCAAAAACAAGTCCCATAGGGGGTCCCTGAGATTCTTTCAAACTACTTCAAAAACAAAACCCAAGGAATCCACGAGATTCTTTCAAATTATTTTAGAAACAAGTCCCACAGGAGGTCCTCGAGATTTTTTCAAACTACGTCAACAGCCAAGAAATCCAAGAGATTTTTTCAAACCACTTCAAAACCCAAGAAATCTACGAGAATATTTCAAATTACTTCAAAAACAATGGCCAAAAGGCTCTAAGAGATTCTTTCAAATTTCTTCATAAAGGGTCTCCGAGATTCTTTCAAACTACCTCAAAAACAAAACCCAGGGAATCCCCTAGACTCTTTAAAATTACTTCAAAAACAAGTTCCATAGGGGTTCCCCGAGATTCTTTCAAACTATCTCAAAAACCAGACACAAAAAGTCCATAAGATTCAAAAACAAAACCCAAGGGAAACCATGAGATTCTTTCAAATTATTTCAAAAACAAGTGTCACAGAAATCCACGAGATTTTTTCAAACTACTTCAAACCCCAAGAAATCTTTCAAATTTCTTCAAAAACAAAACATAAAGGACCCCCGAAATTCTTTCAAACCACCTCAAAATCAAAACCCAAGGAATTCACAAGATTCTTTAAAATAAAAAAATAAATAAACAAGACACAAAGTGTTTCCAAGATTCTTTCAAACTACTTCAAAAACAAATCCCAAGTGATCCACGAGATTGTTTTTCAAATTACTACAAAAACAAGAGTCAAAGGAGGTTCCTAGGATTTTGTCAACCTACTTCAAAAACAAAATCCAAGGAATCCACGAAATTTTTTCAAATTACCTCAAAAACTAAATACAAAGTGTCCCCGCAATTCTTTCAAACCACTTCAAAAACAAATCCCAAGCAATTCGACAGATTTTTTTTAATTACTTCAAAAACAAGGTCTAAAAGGAATCCCCAAGATTTTTTTAAAATACTTCAAAAACAAAACAGAAAGGGTCCCATAGATTCTTTCAAACTACCTCAAAAACCTGATACAAAGTGTCCCCAAGATTTTTTCAAACTACTTTAAAAACAAAACTCAAGTAATCCACGAAATTCTTTCAAATTACTTCAAAAACAAGGCTTATAGGGGTCCCTGAGATCCGTTCACACTACCTCAAAAAGCAGACAGAAAATGTCCCCGATCTTCGTTCAAACTACTTCAAAAACCAGACACAAAATGTCCTCGAAATTCAAAAACAAAATCCAAGAAATCCACAAGATTCCTTCCTATTATTTCAGAAACAAGGCTTACAGGTTGTCTTCGAGATTCTTTCAAACTACTTCAAAAACCAGATAAAAGTGTTCCCCGAGATTCTACTACTTTAAAAATGAAACCCAAGAAATCCACAAGATTTTTTCAAACTACTTCAAAAACAAAATCCAAAATATCGACGACATTCTTTCAAATTGCTTCAAAAACAATACATATCAAATTACACATATAATAAAAAAAATCAAGATCAAAATAATAATTCGGGAAAAAATGTTCAAATTCAAGCTGTGAGTAAATAACAGTGAGAAATCGGAGAAACAGCAGTTTAGAAATTTTCACTGCGTTGTCTAAATGTTTATAAGTAGAAAATATAAGATATACTCTTTGTTTCGAGTCACGTTGATATTATTTTAATCGATGATAATTTTCAATGTCCTCTCTCAAAATGAATCGACATATAACATTCTCAACTTCTAGTGAAAAGCTATGAAATATAGTGTGGTGACCAAATTTGAATTAAAATTTTATCCTCAGTAATTTTCTTTTAAATTATTTGTTTATTGCTCTTGCTAGAAACTTTAACACTTGTTTAGTTCTATTTTAATATCAGAGTTATATAAATTGAACATTTAAATGGAACTGAGGTAAATAACGCAGAAACACGTGGCCGAAGCGGAGGTTGCGGTTCCTAGTCGAGCTGGCGGTCGCGCCAAAAGAATTCAAACTCAATAAGAATAAATGTGGAAAGTCTTGCTTAAAAATGCGTGTTTATTTGGTTGCCTATATCTGGCGCAACTGAAAACTCGCGGGACGTTATCTAGAAAATAATCTCCCAATGGATTTTATCGTCACTGACACGGGAATCGCGTTATTTTCGAAGTGTTTCCCGTTTACTTATAAAATTGCAGCTACGGTACAGGAAAATAAAATAAATACAAGATAAATCTCTTTAATTCTTGTTAGAAACAATTCACATTCCAAGTCCTGTAAAAATATTCGAAGCTTATTAATAGGTGCGAAGGTCTCTCAAGGGTCGATCACGTTAATGCAACCTTTTTTATGGAAACAGATTACCTTGCTGGAGAGTTCTGGATAATCTTGCGCTATTTCTCTCACTCTAGGCTTAGCAGACTGTTGTTGAACAAGCCACTTGTACAGATTCTGCGTCTCGCGATTGATAACCCTCTAAAAAAAACCAAATTAATCCCGAACGGAAATTTTCTAATTCCAAGGAAACATTTAATCTCAGACTTTGTCACAATATTTACGCTCCGACTCACACCTCCCAAATTCCGTTTTATTGTTTACTTATTTACGGTGTTTAATCACTGGTAGAGAACCGGCACCCACACTTATCTGATCCTCCCGTCAGCGCTGATCGATCGGCTATTAAACGGTCACTTTCCTCCCATTACCTCCAAACACCGGAAGAAAACAAAGCGCAGTCACATTACATTGCACAATCCCTAATCTGATCGTCTTTATCGCATTGACGTCCAAATTCCCACGAACCAAACGACCTTTCTCCGTTCGTCAGTTTGATTGACGGCAGATAGGATCAGAACGAGGTACTCGAAACTGTCAAAGGAACTCACCATCATCATTGCCAAGGCGAGCTTGGAGTCCGTCTCGTGGGGCTCACCGGGATCTCCGGAATCGGTGGACACTGGAAGCAGAATTGAGTTGGGTACTAGCGGGAGGAGGTCGTACCTGGATTAGCTGCTACAAGAGCGAGGATTGGGAGGAGCAGGAGCACCTTCATGTTTAGGCTTGCAGGCGCGGATTGCGATTTAGTATTTACGGATGCGGCTGCTAATAAGTATTATCTCGGATTGATGGGATTACGAGTACCGAAATAGCGGGAATGGTAGCAAAGTACGATTGCGATTGTGGAAACTAATAAGTATTTAGGGGGAAGCATGAAGTGAGCACGTGTTTGTCGATATTTATAGCTAGGTAAAGTTTATTTGTTAAGTGGTTAAGTATTTGTTACAAGGGGTGGACTCCGGGGTCACACAAATCGACGCATTTTCCATTGGGCCAACACACAATGCAAGCTAGAGCGTTTAAAATGATTGGGTTGTCGACGGACTTTGGTAAGAGGGCTCGATAAACCTCGAGGGAGAACTCATCGGGAAGGTCCTTTTCCTGAAACGGGATTATCAAAGTTTGAATTTCGTGTCTTCGGGTACTATTACGTAGTCTACAGGTTGTCCGAAAGTTTCCAGCTGGTAACCTTTCTCGGAGTGGTACTTAAGGAAGTCAATCCTCTCTGGAAACAACGAACTAAGGAAAAGTCGACACTCTTAACACACACTCACCTTCTTCGGGTACTGAAGTTAGTACTCTCGCTAGATTGAAAGTCAAAGCGCCTGAAAACAGGGTTGCCAATAAAACAGCCACCACGACACTTTTAGCCATGTTTGCACCAAATGACACCCAGTCGCGTTTTTTCTCTTATATAAGTTACCAATCAAAACAACGTCTTTAAAATAATCCAGTGATTTACAACCTGATAAAAAAATAAAAGGGAATAATCTCGTGACGCACGAAAACACCCATAAAAATCAAACCACTGTAGGTAGAGTTACTAATTTTTATTAAAGTCGTCTACATTTTGGGGAAGTTTCCAGCGTCACACATGTCCACGCACCCAACACCTTGCCAGCAAATGTACTTGGGACAATCTTTGGTCGAGTCCCAACCCCATCGTTTGACCAGGGCAGCCCGCTCTAAAACCCAACTTGCAAAAAAAGGGACACCAACCTCCATACTAACCCTCTGGGGGAAAATCCTGCAGAACCTTCTCCAAACTGAGAGCGAAAGCCACCGCCAGGAAAAAGCAGAAACACAACAACACTTTCAAACCCATTTTGAAATCGCAATTAGCTAAACCTAGTCCTGACCTTATTTATAATCGTTTTCGAGATTTGCTAGTGAAGGATTTATGACCTTAATCTGTTTTCAAAGCCGGTTCAATCCCGCGGATGAGGTTATCACTGCTAAATCATACAACTGGATTTTGACGCAAATTTTATTGTAAAGTCAACACTCGATAGTCTATTTTTTGTCAGGGTGGTACCCGGGGTCGCACCAGTCGATGCATTGACCACCAATCAGGACCCATTGTGGACATTCGTCGCTGCTGTCTTCCGCGCTTTTGCTAACCTCGATGATTTGGTCTGACGATTCTTTGCCTAGGTTTGTCTGTTGAAAAAGTGGTGTAAAGGTTTGATTTGACGAAGAGTTGAGGACTTACGCTGGTGGAGCAAGCCGACCTTTTGTGGATGCTGAGGCCTTCAGCTAGAACCACTACACAGAGCAGAAACACTAGAGTTTTGACTCTCATTTTGTTTGCAGATGATTGACGACTGGTACTTGTATGGCAGTATTTATACAAGAATGTAGTGGAAATCTGAGATTTAATCTTAACTCGGTTGGAGATTAGGATTACAATAATCTATAATAGTTCAGTATCCATTGGAGATGTTTGAGGTTTTGCGAGGTCTTTGGACAAAAACACGAGTTATCTGTAGCAATTTATGTAGCGGTTATCTAGAATCCAGAATGGGTAAACAAGATGTAGATATATCAAAATTTTTTATTTAAATTTTCGACTTTCAGTTTTAGGATTTTCGGTTTTTCAATACCTCGTTTTTTGGTTTTTTGGTCCCTCAATATTTTAATCTATAGCTCTTTTAGTACCTCGATTTTTCTGAATCCAACTTTTCGAAGTGAAGTTTTAAATTTTCGACTTTCAATTTTAGAATTTTTGATTTTTCAATATCTCGTTTTTTCAATTTTTCGATTTTTTTATGTTTCCATAGCTAGAAATTCTCGATATTTCACCTCCATTTTCCTGATTCCAATTTTTCGAATTTTTAAATTTTCGAATTTCGATTTTTTGATTTCCGAATTGCTCGTTTTTCAAATTTTCGAGGTTTTCAAATGTGATTTTATCGATTTTTCACATTTTTCGCTTTTTTTCCTTATCTTAAATTTTACATTTTTTGATTTTTAGATTTTTCAGGTACTTATTCAATTTTTCAATTTTTCGAATGTTCCATTTTTCAGGTTTCAATTTTTCAATTTTCACTTAAGCTAATTATAATCGAGTCCATCGGCCGACTCCCTATTTTTTTATTATTCATCTTCTTGATATTTCAATTTCTCGATCTTTCTGTTCTTCGATTTTTGTTTTTCAATTTTGCAAATTTTTAAATTTTAGATTTTTTTTTTATGTTGCGATTGTCAGATTCTTCAATTTTTTTATTCTTCTTTCTCAATATTTTAATGTCTCGCTTTTAGTACCCCAATTTTTCTAATTCCAATTTTTCGAATTTCTAAATTTTCGACTTTCGATTTTGCAATTTCTATTCCTCGATTTTTTAGTTTTCTGATTTTTGAAATTTTAGATTTTTCGATTTGTAATTTTTTTCAATTTTTTGATGCTTTCATAGGTGAGTTTTTCGCCATTTAGAGATATCTTAAATTTTTGATTTTTTGATTTCTCGATTTTTCAGGTTTTTGATTTTTCAATTTTAGATTTCTGGGTTCCTCAATTTTCATGTAATGTATGTAGTCGGGTCCATCGGTCGACTCTCTATTTTTTTAATTATTCAATCTCTAGATATTTTTTTTCTATGTTTCTGTTCTTCGATTTTTGGTTTCAAATTTTTCTGATTTTTAATTTTCAATTTTCGATTTTTCGATTTCTGGATGCCCCGATTTTTTAGTTATTTGATTTTTGAAATTTTAGAGTTTTCCAACTTAAATGTTTCAATTTTTCCACCTTTTCAATTTGAGTTTCTCGATTTTTCGTTTTTTCCCATTTTTATATAAATTTTTGTTGTTTTCCTTTATGGTTCCAGTTTTTTTCACTGTTTTTTAAGGTCAAGTCAGGTCAGGTCAGGGCAGGATTTCTCAATTTTTCGTCGTTTCGGTTTTTGGATTTTTGATTTTTCAGTTACTCGAAGCTTGGTTTTTCTGATTTCAGTTTTTCAAATTTTTTAATTTTCGATTTTCGATTTTTCAGTTTTTTGATTTGTGAAATTTTAGAGTTTTCGATCTTAAGTTCTTTGATTTTTCTATACATGTTATGATATTTGAATTGCTCGATTTTTTACTTTTTCACTATTTTTGAATATCTTAAATTTTAGATTTTTTCAGTTTTCGGATTTTTGATTTTTCAGTTTCTCGTTTTTTCAATTTTTCGATTTTTTGATGTTTCGATTACCAGATTATTAAATTTTTCAATTCTTTCATTTCTCAATATTTAAATTGCTCGCTCCTTGAGTACCTCAATTTTTCTGATTTCAGTTTTTGGAATTTTTAAATTTTCGACTTCTCGATTTTTCAGTTATTCAATTTTTCGTATTTTCCATTTTTCAGGTTTTCAGTTTTTCAATTTTTAAAATTTTTGATTTCTGTCGTCGGGACTCTACTTTTTTGGTTATTCAATTTCTCCATATTTTAATTTCTCGTTTTTTCAGTATCTCGATTTTTCTGATTACAATTTTTCGAATCTTTAAATTTTCGAATTTCGATTTCTCGATTTTTGAGTTTTTTGATTTTTGAAATTTTATATTTTTCGATCTTACATTTTTCAATTTTTCTATGTTTCGATATTTGAATTTCTCGTTCCTCACTTTTTCGCTACTTTTGGATGTCTTAAATTTGAAATCTTTGGATTTTTCGATCTTTTTTTGCTTTTTTTTGTCGTTTTTTATCACTTCTCTTTTTTTGTTGCATTCATGTCCAATTTTAGTTATTGTTTTTTGTTACGTGGTATACTGATTATTTATCCCTTTGTTTGTCATTTTTTCGTTGCATTTTCCGATTTTTTTAATTTTCAATATTTCGATTTTACGATATTTCATTTTTTGATTTTACTTTTTTTTCAATTTTTCAAGTTTTTGATTTTTCAATTTCACAATTTTTTCATTTTTTGATTCAAAAAACTGAAAAGTAAAAAAATTAAAAATGGAGAACTAAAAAACTGAAAAAATGAAAAACTGAACACAACGAATCGAATCGAAAAATTGGAAAACCCAAAAACTGTAAAATGGAAAAAATGAAAAATTAACAATCGAATAAATGAAAAAGTTTTAAAATTCAATAACTGAAAAATGGAAAAATTCTAAAATTGTAAAATTGAAAAGTAAAAAATTTTAAAAATTATAATAGTTATTATTACATACCTATTTAAGATGAAAACTAAAACAATTGTAAATCAAAATTAAAGAAAAGAGAAAATGAAAAATCGAGAAAATGGAAAATCTAAAATTGATCAAAAGAACATTTAAAAATGTAAAAGTCGAAAAATTGAAAAATTCACATTAAAAAAGAGAAAAAAGAGAAATTATAAAATCGGAAACATTCAAAACCGAAAAATTGAGAAAACAAAGAAAATCGCAAAAACAAAATGAAAAATTGAAAAATTAAAAAATTAAACATTGAAAACTCGTGAAACTGCAAATCGAAAAATTGCTTGCAGACAAAAAATTGCAAATCAGAAATTTGCATAAATGAAAAATTGAGAAATTAAAAACAGAAAAATTGATAAATTGATAAATGAAAAAGTTTTAAAATTCAATAAATGAAAAATTTTGTAATTATAATTATATTTACATATGTATTTAAAAAACTAAAAAATTGCAAATCAAAAATTGAAGAAAGGGAAAACTGAAAAATCAAGAAACTGAAAAATCTAAAATTGCACAATCTTTAAAAAATGTAAATTTAAAAAATCGAAAAATTAAGAACGGGAAAATTGCAAATCGAACAACTGAAAAATCCAAAAATTGAAAAATTTCACACTGGAAAAAGAAAAATTATAAAATCAAAGTATTAAAAAAACCGAAAATTTGAAAAGATAAAGAAAATTCAAAATCCAAAGGAAAAATTGAAGACAGAAAAAATCGAAAATTCGAAAAATTGAAACCTCCAATAGTTTGAAAATCAGAAAACTGAAAAATTTTAAAATTTAAATCTGAGATTTAATCTTAACTCGGTTCTAGATTACAATAATCTATAATAGTTCAGTATCCATTTGGAGATATTTGAGGTTTTTGCGAGGTCTTTGGACAAAAAACACGAGTTATCTGTAGCAATTTATGTAGCGGTTATCTAGAATCCAGAATGGGTAAACAAGATGTAAATATAGAAGGTGACACATCAAAATTTTGTTCAACAAAATACAACCATAGAGGGGTCAGGTCATAAGGTTATCACTAAATCATACAACTATATTTTTAAGTCAAAATTTATTATTTGGTGGTTCAGTATTCACACTCGACACTCTATTTCATGTCGGGATGGTACGCTGGGTCACACCAGTCGATGCAATCATCTCCAAACGGAACCCATTGTGGACACTCGTCGCTATTGACTTCCACGCTTTTGACAAAGTCGATGATTTTTCCTAAAGATTCTTTGCCCAACTTTCGCTATTAGAAAAGTGGTGTAAACGTTCGATTTGAAGAAAAGTTAACAACTTACGGTAGGAGGGCATGGGGATCTTTTGTCGATGCTTAGTCCTTCTGCTAGAACCACTACACAGACGAGAAACACAAAAGTTTTGGCTTTCATTTTGTTTGATAGGTTGCAGGTGATTGACGGTTGATAGTTGTATGGTAGTATTTATAAAAGAATGCAGTGGAAATCTGAGGTTTAATCTTAACTCGGTTGAGATTAGGATTAAGATAATCTATACTTCAATGGTCAGTTAGATATTTTTGTTTATTAATTTTTGGTTTATTTATTCACAGACGTGATTAAAATTAGTTTATTTGAGACAATAATACGTGTAATTTTTTGTTTCGTGGTGAACTGTCCCACTCTTAACACTATCTGCCGGGATGGTACGCTGGGTCGCACCAGTCGATCCATCCTCCATCAACCGGGACCCATTGTGGACAATCGTCGCTTTTGACAAGCTCGGTGATTTTTTCTAAAGATTCTTTGCTGAGTTTTGTCTGTTGGGAAAGAGTGTAAAGGTTCGATTTGAAGAAAAGTTGAGAACTTACGTGTGCTGGCCTTTTGTGGATGGTTAGTCCTTCTGCTAGAACCACTACACACAGGAGAAACACGAGGGTTTTGGACTGCATTTTGTTTGTTAGGTGCGGTGCAGGTAATAATTGACGTTTGATAGTTGTATGGTAGTATTTATAAAAGACTGCAGTGGAAATCTAAAGTTTAATCTTAACTCGGTTCGAGATTAGGATTAAAACAATCTAAGTATAGTTTGTTTTTAATTAAACAACATATTTTTGGTTGTTTGCGAGGTTTTTGGACATTTTGTGTTATACAACAGTCATTGTTGCGAGTTTATTTTTCACTTTTAACATTTCCTGTGATTGGGTGATGTATTACTTGTTGGAAATACATTTATTTTTTTGTTTTTTAGTCATAAAAAACACTACTTATCTGTGGTACGTGTTGTTGTATATCAACTTTATATATAATAGTATGACGGTTTTATCTAGAATTCAGGTTGGGTAAACAAATTTTAAATATACAATATTTTTTTATTTTTGTCGTTTGCTTTTCAATTTTTCGATTTTCCAATTTTTTGACTTTTCAATTTCTGTATTTTTGGCGTTTTTCGATTTGTCGATTTTACGAATTCTCGATTCCTCTATTAATGAATTTTTTGAGTTTTCGATTTTTCAGGTTTTCAATACATATATATCTCAATTTATAAAATTTTCGATTTCCGAATTTATCAATTTTCATTACGTGAGCATAAGCCAAGGACGTGTTGCAATCGAGTCCATAGCCAACTCCCTACTTTTTGATTATTCAATTTTGCAATATTTTAATTTCTCGATGTTTGATTTTTGTTTTTCAATTTTTCGAATTTTTAAATTTTCAACTTTCGATTTTTCGATTTCTAGATTTCTCGATTTTCCAGTTTTTTGTTTTTTGAAATTTTCGATTCAAAATTTCTCATTGTTTCGATGTTTTCATATTTGAGTTTCTCGATTTTTCACTTTTTCACTATTTTTGGTTATCTAAAATTTTGGGTTTTTCAGTTCTTCAATTTTTCGAATTTTCCATTTTTCAGGTTTTCAATTTTTCAATTTTTAAAATTTTCGATTTCTGGGTTTATCACTTTTCACTTCCTGAGCGTAAACTAAGGAAGTATTGTAATCCGAGTCCATCTACCGGCTCCCTACTTTTTGGATTATTAAATTTCTCGATATTTTATTTCTCGATGTTTCTGTTCTTCTTGTTTTTCAATTTTTCGAATTTTTAAATTTTCAACTTTCAATTTTAGGATTTTGGATTTGTCAATACCTCGTTCTTTCAATTTTTTGATTTTTTTTATTTCCCAAAATTTTAATACACCGTTCGTTCAGTCCCTCGCTTTTTCTGATTCCAATTTTTCAAATTTTTAAATTTTCGACTTTCAATTTTTCGATTTCCGGATTTTTAGATTTTTCAGTTTTTTGATTTTTGCAATTGTGGATTTTTCGTTTTTACATTTTTCAATTTTTTAATGTTTTATATTGGAGTTTGTCGATTTTTCACTTTTTCGCTATTTTTAGATGCCTAAAATTTTAAATTTTTGAATTTCTCGATGTTTCAGTTTTTCAATTCTTCAACTTTTCGAATTTTCCATTTTTTAGTGTTTCAGTTTTTCAGTTTTTCAAATTTTCAATTTCTGGGTTTATCAATTTTCATTTCGTAAGTGTAAGCTAAGGAAGTATTGTAATCGAGTCTATAGGTCGACTCCCTACTTTTTTGATTATTCGATTCCTCGATATTTTAATTTCTCGATCTTTCTGTTTTTCGATTTTCGTTTTTCAATTTTTCGATTTTTCATGTTTTGATTGCCAGATTGTTCAATTTTTTTATTCTTTGATCTCTCAATATTTTTTTATCCCGCTCTTTCAGTACCCTGACTTTTCTGATTCCAATTTTTCGAATTTGGAATTTTTGATTTCTGAATTGCTCGTTTTTTCAGATTTTTGATTTTTGAAATTTTAGATTTTTCGCTCTTAAATTTTTCAAATTGTCGAGGTTTTCATATGTGATTTTCTCGATTTTTCACCTTTTCGCTTTTTTCCTTATCCTAAATTTTACATTTTTGAATTTTTCGATTTTTCAGGTACTTATTCAGCTCTTCAATTTTTCGAATGTTCCATTTTTCAGGTTTTCAATTTTTCAATTTTTTTTAAATTTTCGGTTTACGGCTTATCAATTTTCAGCTAATCATAATTATAATCTTCTTGATATTTTAATTTCTCGATGCTTCTGTTCTTCGATTTTGGTTTTTAATTTTTAAAATTTTTAAATTTTTGATTTTTTTTTGTTGCGATAGTCAGATTGTTCCATTTTTGTATTCTCTTTTTCTCAATATTTTAATTTCTCGCTCTTTTATTACCCCAATTTTTCTAATTCCAAAAAATTTTAAATTAAATTTTCGACTTTCGATTTTGCAATTTCTATTTCTCGATTTTTTAGTTTTCTGATTTTTGAAATTTTAGATTTTTCGACATAAAATTTTTCAATTTTTTGATGCTTTCATATGTGAGTTTTTCGCCATTTTGGGATATCTTAAATTTTAGATTTTTGGATTTCTCGGTTTTTCAGGTTTTTGATTTTTCAATTTTAGATTTCTGGGTTAATCAATTTTCACTTCCTGAGCGTTAGCTAAGGAAGTATTGTAGTCGGGTCTATCGGCCGACTCCCTATTGTTTTGATTATTTAATCTCTAGATATTTTTTTTTCTCCATGTTTCTGTTCTCCGACTTTTGGTTTTAAATTTTTCGAATTTTTAATTTTCGACTTTTGATTTTTCGATTTCTGGATTTCCCGATTTTTCAGTTATTTGATTTTTGAAATTTTAGAGTTTTCGATCTTAAATATTTCAATTTTTCGACGTTTTCATAATTGAGTTTCTCGATTTTTTAACTTTTTTCCATTTTTATAAATTCTTGTTGTTTTTCTTTGTGGTTCCAGTTTTTTTCACTGTTTTGTAAGGTCAAGTCAGGTCAGATCAGGTGAGGATTTCTCAATTTTTCGACGTTTCAGTTTTCGGATTTTTGATTTTTCAGTTTTTCGATTTTTTGATGTTTTGATAGCTAGATTGTTCAATTTTTTTTATTCTTTAATTTCTCAATATTTTAATTTCTCGCTCTTTCAGTACCTTGGTTTTTCTGATTTCAATTTTTCATTTTTTTTAATGTTCGACTTTGGATTTTTCAGTTTTTTGATTTTTCTATATGTATTTTTTTCACTTTTTTACTATTTTTGGATTTCTTAAATTTTATATTTTTGGATTTCTCGATTTTTCAGTTTTTCGACTGTTTTTTTGGGGGTTTTTTGTCGCTTTTTGTCACCTCTTTTTTGTTGTATTTATCTCCAATTTTAATTACTGTATTTTTGGTCAGTATTTGTCGCAATTTATATCGATTATTTGTCTCTTTGTTTTGTCGTTTTTTTCGTTGTACTTTCGGTTCCTTATTTTTTTTCCCTTTTGGCGTTTTTTCATGTTTTTTATACTATTTTGCTCGTTGTATATCGTCTTTTTTGACATATTGTCGTCCATTTTTGTATATTTTTATTGTTTTTTTCAAATTCCCGTTATTTCAATTTTTCTATTTTTTAATGTTTCGATCCCCCGATTGTTCAATTTTTTGATTCCTTGGTCTCTCAACATTTTAATTTCTCGCTCTCCTCTATTCCAAATTTTCCGAATTTTAAAATTTTCGACTTTCGATTTTTCGATTTCTGGATTTCTCGACATTTCATTTTTTTGATTTTTGATGTTTTAGATTTCTCGATATGAAATTTTTCAATTTTTAATGTTTTCATATTTGAGTTTCTCGATTTTTCACTTTTTCGCAATTTTTGGATATCTAAAATTTTAGATTTTTGGAATTCTCGATTTTTCAAGTTTTCAATTTTTCAATTTTTAAAATTTTCGATTTCTTGGTTTATCAATTTTCACTTCCTGTTGCATTTCTGTCCAATTTTAGTTAGTTTTTTGTCACAGTTTATATGGATAATTTATCCTTTTATTTGTCATTTTTTTCGTTGCATTTTTCGATTTCTTTAATTTTCAATATTTCGATTTTATATTTCTTTTTTTTGATTTTACTTTTTTTCAGTTTTTCAAGTTTTTGAATTCCAATTTTTAGATTGTCAAAATTTTCATTTTATACATTTCGTTCTTTCATTTTTGATTTTTCAATTTCACAATTTTTTCATTTTTTGATTCAAGAAACTGAAAAGTCGAACAATTAAAAATGGAGAAACTAAAAAAAAACAAAAAATGAAAAACTGAAGAAAACCGAAAAACTGCAAATCGAAGAACGCAAGAAACGAAAAATCAAAACTTTGAAAAAGTAAATATCGAGACAGAAAAAAATAGAAAAAAATTAATGAATCGAAAAATTGGAAACCCCAAAATTGTAAAATCGAAAAAATAAAAATTTAAAAATCGAATAAACGAAAAAGTTTTAAAACCCAATAACTAAAAAATGGAAAAATTCTAAAAGCGTAAAATTGAAAAGTAAAAAATTTTAAAAATTATAATAATTATTATTAAATATTTAAAATAAAAACTAAAACAATTGTAAATCAAAAATTAAAGAAAGAGAGGAAAAATTGAAAAATCGAGAAAATGGAAAATCTAAAACTGAGCAGAAGAAAATTTAACAATCTAAAATTTGAAAAACCGAAAAATTGCAAATCAAAAAATAAAACACCCAAAATTTGGAAAATCGAAAACTTATTAATTTTACAATAAAAACTCCAAGAGTGAAAAAATTGAAATTGAAAAAACATTGGAACATTGAAAAATCGGAAAATTGTTAAAACAAAGACAACAAAAAACGGAAACAAAAAATTGCATAACAAAAATTTGAATAAATGAAAAATTGAGAAATTAAAAATAGAAAAATTGATAAATAGATAAATGAAAAAGTTTTAAAATTCAATAATTGAAAAACGGGACGATTTCTAATATCGTAAAAATGAAAAACTGAAGAAAACGGAAAATTAAGTGGAAAACCGAAAAACTGAAAATCGAAGAACGCAAGAAACGAAAAATCAAAACATTGAAAAAGTAAATATGGAGACACTTAAAAATCGAAAGAAATTAATGAATCGAAAAATTGGAAAAGCCAAAAACTGTAAAATCGAAAAAATGAAAAATTAAAAATCGAATAAATGAAAAAGTTTTAAAACCCTATAACTGAAAATGGAAAAATTCTAAAATCGTAAAGTTGAAAAGTAAAGAATTTTCAAAATTATAATAATTATTATTACACATTTAAAATGAAAACTAAAACAATTGTAAATCAAAAATTGAAGAAAGAAAGGAAAAACTGAAAAATCGAGAAAATGGCAAATTTAAAACTGAGTAAAAGAAAATTTAAAAATCTAAAAGTTGAAAAATCGAAAAGTTGCTAATCAAAAAATAAAACACCCAAAATTAGAAAATCGAAAAACTTATTAATTTTACAATGAAAACACCAAGAGTGAAAAAATTGAAATTGAAAAAACATTGGAACATTGAAAAATCGGGAAATTGTAAAAACAAAGAAAACAAAACGCGGAAACAAAAAATTGCAAAACAAAGATTTGAATAAATGAGAAATTGAGAAATTAAAAATAGAAAAATTGATAAATAGATAAACGAAAAAGTTTTAAAATTCAATAATTGAAAAATGGGACGGTTTCTAATATCGTAAAAATGAAAAACTGAAGAAAACGGAAAATTAAGTGGAAAACCGAAAAACTCCAAATCGAAGAACTCGAGAAACGAAAAATCAAAACATTGAAAAAGTAAATATCGAGACACTTAAAAATAGAAAAAAATTAATGATTCGAAAAATTCGAAAAGCCAAAAATTGTAAAATCGAAAAAATGAAAAATTAGGAATCGAATAAATGAAAAATCGAGAAAATGGAAAATTTAAAACTGAGCAAAAGGCAATTTAAAAACCTAAAACCTGAAAAATCGAAAAATTACAAATCAAAAAATTGATAAATCCAAAATTTCACATTGCAAAAAGAGAAATTATAAAATCGGAAACATTCAAAGCCGAAAAATTGAAAAACAACGAAGTGAAAAATTACAAATCGAAATATTTAAAAAATGATAATTGAAAAATTAAACATTGAAAACTCGTGAAAAAGCAAATCTAAAAATTGCACAATCTAAAAATGAAACACCCAAACTTTGGAAAATCGAAAAACTTAATTTTAAAATGAAAACTCGAAGAGTGAAAAAGTTGAAATTGGAAAAACATCGGAACATTGAAAAATCGGGAAATCGTAAAAATAAAGGAAACAAAAAATTTTGAAAATTAAAGTTATTTTTACATATGTATTTAAAGTAAAAACTAGAAAAACTGCAAATCAAAAATTGAAGAAAGGAAAAACTGAAAAATCTAAAATCGCACAATCTTTAAAAAATGTAAATTTAAAAAATCGAAAAATTAAAAGCGAGAAAATTGCAAATCGAAAAATTGAAAAATTTCACACTGGAAAGAGAAATTATAAATTCAAAGTATTAAAAAACCAAAAATTTTAAAAGATAAAGTAAACACAAAACCCAAAGGAAAAACTGAAGACAGAAAAAATCGAAAATTCGAAAAATCGAAGAATTAAAAATTGAAACCTCCAAAAGTTTGAAAATCAGAAAACTGAAAAATTTTAAAATTGAAACATTCAAAACCGAAAAATTGAAAAACAAAGAAAATTACGCAAACGAAATGAAAAATTGTTCCATTTTTTTAATCTTTGATTTCTCAATATTTTAATTTTTCACTTTTTCAGTACCTCGATTTTTCTGATTTCAATTTTTCGAATTTTTAAATTTTCGACTTTCGATTTCTTTAATTTTCAATTTTTCGTTTTTACGATATTTCGTTTTTTTGATTTTACTTTTTTTCAGTTGTTCAAGTTTTTGAATTCCAATTTTTAGATTGTCAAAATTTTCATTTTATACATTTCGTTTTTTCATTTTTGATTTTTCACTTCACAATTTTTTCATTTTTTGATTCAAAAAACTGAAAAGACGAAAAATTAAAAATGGACAAACTAAAAAAACGAAAAAATGAAAAACTGAAGAAAACGAAAAATTGCAAAATCAAAAAAGTGTAAAATCGAAAAAATGAAAAATTAAAAAACGAATAAATGAGAAAGTTTTAAAATCCAGTAACTGAAAAATGGAAAACTTCTAAAATCGTAAAATTGAAAAGTAAAAAATTTTAAAAATTATAATAATTATTATTAAATATTTAAAATAAAAACTAAAACAAATGTAAATCAAAACGTAAAGAAAGAAAGTAAAAACTGAAAAGTCGGGAAAATGGAATATCTAGAATTGAGCAAAAGAAAATTTAAAAATCTAAAAGTTGAAAAATCGAAAAATTGCAAATCAAATATTGATATATCCAAAATTTCACATTGAAAAAAGAGAAATTATAAAATCGGAAACATTCAAAACCGAAAAATTGAAAAAACAAAGAAAATCACAAAAATGAAGTGAAAAATTGAAAAATTAAAAATTGAAAACTCGTGAAACTGAAAATCCAAAAATTGAAAACTCGGAGAGTGAAAAAATTAAAATTGGAAAAACATTGGAACATTGAAAAATCGGGAAATTGTAAAAATAAAGCAAACAAAAAATTGCAAATCGCAAATTTGAGGAAATGAAAACTTGAGAAATTAAAAATAGAAAAATTGATACATTGATAAATGAAACGATTTCTAATACCGTAAAATTGAAAAACGAAACATATTGAAAATTATAATTATTTTTACATCTGTATTTAAAATAAAAACTAAAAAAATTGCAAATCAAAAATCAAAACAAGGGAAAACTGAACAATCAAGAAACTGAAAAAATCTAAAATTGCACAATCTTTAAAAAATGTAAATTGGAAAAACCTCCAAAAGTTTGAAAATCAGAAAACTGAAAAATTTTAAAATTGAAACATCGAAAATGAAAAAACAGAAGATACTTGTTTTAGTTTTTTTTAGCGTTTTTATATTCTTATTCCTTGTATGTCGCCTATTTTTGACGTATTTTCGTACATTTTTATACATTTTTGTTGTTTTTCTTTGTGGTTGCAATTTTTCATAAATTAGAAGTTTTTCGGTCTATTATCTCAAGTAAACATTTCTGTGACGAAATAGAAACCAAAAAGTACATCCTTAAAACAATTGTCATGGTTTTTTGTTACATTTTTTCTTGCTTTTTGTCGCCTTTTGATGCTTTTTCTCTTTTTTTTATGTTTCTGAAAATTTTTGTCCCCTTTTTCGTCATTTTTTTGTCGTTTCTTTTTTCGTTATATGTTTTTTGTTCTTTTGACGTATTTTCGTCCATTTTTATGTAGTTTTGTTGTTTTTCTTTGTGGTTGCAGTTTTTTTTCGCTGATTTGTAGGCCAAGTCAGGTCAGCATTTCTGAATTTTTCGACGTTTCAGTTTTCGGATTTTTGATTTTTCAATTTCCCGTTTTTCTCAATTTTTCGATTTTTTGATGTTTCAATTGCCAGATTGTTAAATTTTTTGATTCTTTGATTTCTGAATATTTTAATTTCTCGATTTTTCAGTACCTTGATTTTTCTGATTTCAATTTTTCGAATTTTTAAATTTTCGAATTTCTACTTATTGATTTTTCAGTTTTGTGATTTTTGAAATTTTATATTTTTCAAATTAATAAATCGAAAAATTGGAAAACCCAAAAATTGTAAAATCGAAAAAATGAAAAATTAAAAATCGAATAAATGAAAAAGTTTTAAAACCCAATAACTGAAGATGGAAAAATTCTAAAATCGTAAAGTTGAAAAGTAAAGAATTTTAAAAATTTTAATAATTATTATTACATATTTAAAATGAAAACTACAAATGAAAACAATTGTAAATCAAAAATTAAAGAATGAAAGGAAAAACTGAAAAATCGAGAAAATGGAAAATCTAAAACTGAGCAAAAGAAAATTTAACAATCTAAAATTTGAAAAACCGAAAAATTGGAAATCAAAAAATAAAACACCCAAAATTTGGAAAATCGAAAAACTTATTAATTTTACAATGAAAACTCCAACAGTCAAAAAATTGAAATTGAAAAAACATTGGAACATTGAAAAATCGGGAAGTTGTAAAAATAAAGAAAACGAAAAACGAAAACAAAAATTGCAAATCGAATATTTGAATAAATTAAAAATTGAAGAATTAAAAATAGAAAAATTGATAAATAAATAAATGAAAAAGTTTTAAAATTCAATAATTGAAAAATGGAACGATTTCTAATATCGTAGAATTGAAAAACGAAACATTTTGAAAATTATAATTATTTTTACATCTGTATTTAAAATAAAAACTAGAAAAATTGCAAATCAAGAATTGAAGAAAAGGGAAACTGAAAAATCTAAAATTGCACAATCTTTAAAAAATCGAAAAATTGAAAATTTTCACTCTGGAAAAAGAGAAATTTTAAAATCAAACTTTTTAAAAAAACCGAAAATTTTAAAAGATAAAGAAAATACAAAACCCAAAGGAAAAAATTGAAGACAATACAAATCGAAAATTCGAAAAATTGAAAAATTAAAAATTGAGACCGCCAAAAATTTGAAAATCAGAAAACTGAAAAATTTTAAAATTGAAACATCGCAAATCGGCAAACAGAAGACAGTTATACTTGTTTTCGTCCTTTTTGTAGCCTTTTTTGGCGTATTTTCGTACACTTTTATATATTTTTGTTGTTTTCCTTTGTGGTTGCACTTTTGCATTTTTTTTTGTCGTTTGTTTCGTTTTTTTTTAATTTTTGGCATTTCTTGTCGCTTTTTTGTTTCTTGCCTCGTTTTTACCTCGTTGCATTTTTTGTTGCGTTAATTGTTTTTTCGTTTTTTTTAGCATTTTTGTTGTTGTAATTTTGTTTTCGCTCTTTCGTCTTTCCGTTTTTGATTTTCATGTTGTAAAATGAAAAACTAAAATATCCATTGAAAAGTACACTTACAAATTTTTTGTGAGTGATACTTCTGCCCACTTGTTGAGATATTTAGATCTTGAGTTATTTTGTGGAGAAGCTATTCATCAGTTGTCTAGATTTGTCGAAGTACCGGAAAAACCTAGACTTTGTCTTCATTTTAAATAGGAAAATAGAAGACGCGATTTTTGCTCATTTTTTATTAAACAACCAAACACAATCCAAAAGATTTACAACACATTTATTATTTTCAAAACAAGTATGACAGTCCAAGTCTGTTGTTCAGTCTGGAAAATATCCAGGGTTGCACACATCTATACAAACTCCGTTGCTCCAACAGATGATTTTGGAACATCCATCATCTCCACATGTGCAGCCTTTTGGTTCCACAGTTTGACTGACAACGTCACCTGCCAAAAACCCCGAATAACATTTTTCCCATAAATAGTAAATGAGTAGTGAAAGATTTTTTCAAATGTTCATGGTACCGACCAATTTCAACACTATCTAAGTTGAAAGTAAAATTAAAGGATTAAGTACCTTTTGATTTTGGTTCAACTGATGGACTACACAAATCAACGCAGACTCCATTGCTTAGACAGACTTCTTTGGAACAACCCTCCTCTCCACAATTGCAGCGTTTCTGGCGAAGTTCTTCGTCATTAACTTCGCCTTCTACAAAAATAAGTGTCAAGTACCACCCGAACAATTTACGTTGTACACATACCATAGTCCGAATCGTACTTTAAAACTTTGGCTGCACTAAGTGCAGCCAGCACACTTAGGAAGCAAACACACAACACCACTTTCGACCTCATTTTCAGAATAATTTTTTTTGTTGGGTCGAACTTATTTATTTTCCAAAAAATCGTTTGACGTACATGTTAAGTCCCAAAATTTATGACTGTTAATCTTAAGATCAGCCATAAAGCAAAATTAATGCGTTTTCTTTAATCTCTGTATGACAATAACAACTGCACAAGTGCACTTAGACGCGATTTTTTCTTTTATCTGTGGAATCCCTTTCGGATTAATCGGCATTAAGACCCTTAATGGGTTTAAACGAAAACGACAAATCCGCTCGTCTTTTTTATTTCCGGTTCAAGTCCAAACTCTTATTTGTTAATTTTCAATGAAATAATTGTCATTGTCGGAAAAATTTACTCAACTTCAAAGTTTCCATTGTTTCAGCGAAACCGGCATGACGAACAATTCATTACATTGCAGTTCTAGAAATTCATTATCTTTCCGAAAAAATGACGTTTTCCTCTCAAAAAATCGCCAGGATTTTACTGAATTATCGATTGTTGTTATCGCAAAAATTTGATAAGGTTTAGGGCTTAGCCATTCATGATTTCACACATACATGTCAGATTTAATTAAACAATTTTAATTAAACTCAATAATTTGTGTGAACTGATTTTCGATAAACGACATAAATTGGTTTTGATAAAGAGTAATAACTGGGGTAATTAAAAATAGAGATAGCGTGTGCAGTGCAGATGCTGGTCATCCCCCACTCTTCCACTCTGAATAATTAAACTGCAGTCCAACAAAGCCGTTGTTTTTCGCTCAAACCGTTCGCGTTATCTCATGCACTTTGAAATACAGATTTGTTTTCAATCTTAAACGCACTACAACATAAGAATTCGTCTTATTGTGTTCGGGAGTCGAGTTTAAAGTTTCTATCTGTAATTAAGCACCTAAGATATCTATAAATTACTCAAAAACATCACGGCCTACATACATGCAGTAAAACGTTTCGACTTTAATCCTTTTAATTATTTATTGAGTGATCAATCATCGACATGGCAAGTTAAATCTTCTATTTTGACTTGTCGAAGTGAATGACTCAGGAATTAGATAAAAATTCCTGAGTGTTTGGAAATGAATTAGGGCCAGGAGGCTTCTTGACATAGATCTATGCAGAAGACGTTACGGAAGCAGAAAGTTTGGGGGCACTGGTCCAAATCTAGGAGGTGGTGCCGTTTTATGTATGTTAGAAGATCGTAGTAATCTTCCCTGGAGTACTCGATCTACAAAAAAAGCGAAAATTTTTGGCGAAATAACTTAGGTACTCACTTTTTTGTTGGAATATTTTTCGGCGACGGTTTCAAAGATTAACATAAGGTTGCACAAGCACAATATGGAAATGTAGAGTTTATCCATGTTGCACAATTATTGATTTTTATAGACTGACGATTGGTAGACTGTTTTTATATTGAGTGGAAAACAACAATCTCGCTAACTGCGTAATATTTGATGAGGGATTAGTTAAAGTGCTGCTTTCTGTCCTCCACGTTTAAATTTTGTTTTTCGAGCAAAGGTTGAGATTAAAATAGGTACAGTTTCTTTATTTTTACTTCCCTAGCGTTGAAAAGTAACATAGTTTATGAATCGGTGTCGAATTTTTTTCGTAGACATCGCGATTTTTGGAAAAAAATTAAATTGTATGACAGTTTTTCGATTTCTCGAATTCTCGATTTCTGGATTAATGGATTTTTCGACTTGTCGATTTTTCAGTATTTCGATTATCCAATTTGTCAAATTTTCGATTTTTCAGGGTTGCAATTTTCAAAATGTTCGATTTTTGGGTTCATCAATTTTTTGATTCTTCAATTTCTCGATATATTTTGATTTCTCGACGTTTCTGTTCTTCGATTTTTTTTCAATTTTTCCAATTTTTAAATTTTCCACTTTCGATTTCTCTATTTTTCAATATTTTGATTTTTAAAATTTCAGTTTTTCGACTTTTCGATTTCTTTTATCAATTTTTCGATTTTTTGATGTTTCGATTGCCAGATTGTTCAATATTTTGATTCTTCGATTTCTCAATATTTTCTCAGTCTTTTTCCGTTTGGGGTTTTTCGAATTTTCGATTTTTCGATTTCTTTATTTACGATTTCTTGTTTCTTCGAATTTTCGATTTTTCAGTTTTTCGAATTTTTTTTACGACTTTTTAATTCTTCAGTTTTTAAAACCTTGAATTTCTAGAGTTTAGAATTTAGAAATTAAAAATTTTTGAAGTGTTTCAGTGTCTCATTTTTTCGATTTTCTTGATTTCTAATTTTCGATTTCGATTTTCCATTTTTCGAATTTTCGATTTCCGATTTTTCAAATTTTTAAGTCATCGAATTTCCAAGTTTTCGATTTTTGTTTTTGGTTTACTTAAAATGAGAATGAGAGAGAAAGAGATAAATGGGAGAATGAGAGAAAGAGACAAGGGGAAATGAGAGCGACAGAGAGAAAGAGTGATAAATGAGAGAATGAGAGAGACAGAGAGTGATAAATGGGAGAATAAGAAAGAATGATAAATGGGAGAATGAGATAGTGATAAATGGGAGAATGAGAGAGTGATAAATGGGAGATTGAGAGAGAGTGATAAATAGAAGAATGAGAGAGAGAAAAATGGGAGAATGAGAGAGAGAGATAAATTGGAGAATGAGAGAAAGAGATAAATGGGGGCATGAGAGAGAGATAAATGGGAGAATGAGAGAAACAGAGATAAATGGGAGAATGAGAGTGACAGAGATAAGGTTTTTCAACTTTTTATTTTGCGGCTTTCTTATTTCTCTTTTGTCAATTTTTCGTTTTCCTGGTTTTTCAATTTTCCGATTTTTTGATAATTCGATTACCAGATTGTTAAAATTTTTGATTCTTCGATTTCTCAATAATTTAATTTCTCCTTATTTCCAGTACTACGATTTTTCTCTCTTCAATTTTTCGAATTTTTAAATTTTCGATTTCTGGATTTTTCCATTTTTGCAATTTTAGATTTTCCAATGATTTGATATTTGAGTTTTCCGATTTTTCAATTTTTCGCTATGCATATCTTAAATTTTAGATTTTTGGATTTCCTGATTTTTCAGTTTTTCAATTTTTCGAATTTGTTGATTTTAAATTTTTCAATATTTTGATGTTTGAAACTGTCAGTCATTTAATTTTTCAACTGTTGATTTCGGATTTTTCAATTTTTCGATTTTTCAGTTTCCAATTTTCCGACATCTCGTTTTTTTTTTAATTTTCCTATACTTCAATTTCGATTTTTTTTTAGTTTAATCATTTTTCAATTTTTCGATTATTTGATTTTTTCATTTCGATTTTATAAATCTTAGATATTCAAGTTTTGTTATTTTTCAATTTCTCAAACTTTCGATTTTTTGAATTTTTAGTTTTCGAATCTTCGAGTTTTCAATATTCGAATTTTCAAATTTTTTATATTTCAATTTATCAGTTTTTCCATTTTCAGTTTTTGGATCTTTCAATTGTTTGCTTTTCAATTTTTTGATTTCTTAAGTCCAATTTTACAATTTTCGATTTTTTGAATTTTCGATTTTCAATATTTTTACTTCTCGACTTTCCATTTGAGGTTTTTCGATTTTTCGACTTTTCGATTTCTTTATCTAAGAATCCTTGTTTCTTCGAATTTTCGATTTTTCAATTTTTCGAATTCGCGGTTTCAGATTTTTCGATTTCTCGATTTTTTTTATTTTCAATTTTTCGATTTTTCGATCCCTCAATTTTCGGTTATTCGAATTTTTAATTTTCCGATTTTCCACTTTGGAATTTTCGACTTTCGATTTTTCGACTTTGTATTTTTCGATTTTCAATTTTTCGCTTTTTCAAATTTTCGATTTCCGATTTTCGTTTATTCGATTTCTTGATTTCCAATTTTCCGAACTTTTGATTTTCAATTTTTCAAATTTTTGGTTCATCAAATTTTCGATTTTTTGATTTTCGGATTTGATTTTTCAATTTTTTGAATTCCGGTTATTCCAATTTTTTACGATTTTTCAATTCTTCAGGTTTTAAAACTTTGAATTTCTACGTTTTCATTTTTCCATTTTTCAATTATCGAAATTTTCGATAAATGGGAGAATGAGAGAAACAGAGATAAGATTTTTTCAAGTTTTTTTATTTTTCGGCTTTATGATATCTTTTTTTTCAATTTTTCGTTTTCACGATTTTTCAATTTCTCGATTTTTTGATAATTCGATTGTCACATTGTTAAATTTTTTGATACTTCGATTTCTCAACATTTTAATTTTTCGCTGTTTCAGTCCTTCGATTTTTCTGTCTTCAATTTTTCGAATTTTTAAATTTTCGATTTTTCAGTGTTTTGATTTTTGAAATTTTAGATTTTCCAATGTTAAATTTTTTAATTTTTCAATGATTTGATATTTGAGTTTCTCGATTTTTAAGTTTTTCGCTATTTTTGCATATCTTAAATTTTAGATTTTTGGATTTCTCGATTTTTCAGTTTTTCAATTTTTCAAATTTGTTGATTTTATGTTTCAATTTTTTGATTTTTAAAATTTTTGATTCTTTGAATTATTTTTTTTTTCGAATTCTTGATTTTTCAATTTTCGATTTTTCAATTTCCAATTTTCCTATACTTCAATTTCGATTTTTTTTTAGTTTAACCATTTTTCAATTTTTCGATTGTTTGATTTTTTCATTTCGATTCAAGTTTTTTCAAGTTTTGTTACTTTTTGATTTTTCAATTTCTCAAATATTCGATTTTTGGATTTTTGAGTTTTCGAATCTTCGATTTTTCAATATTCGAATTTTCATTTTTTTATATTTCAATTCATCAGTTTTCCATCTTCGGTTTTTGGATCTTTCAATTGTTTGCTTTTCAATTTTTTGATTTCTTGAGTTCCGATTTTACAATTTTCGATTTTTCGAATTTTCGATTTTCAATATTTTTACTTCTCGACTTTATTTTTCCATTTGAGGTTTTTCGAATTTTCGATTTTCCGATTTCTTTATCTACGAATCCTTGTTTCTTCGAATTTTCGATTTTTCAATTTTTCGAATTCTCGGTTTCAGATTTTTCGGTTTCTCGATTTTTTTATTTTCAATTTTTCGATTTTTCGGTTATTCGAATTTTTTATTTTCCATTTTCGATTTCCGATTTTCGTTTCTTCGATTTTTTGATTTCCAAGTTTCCGAACTTTTGATTTTCAATTTTTCAAATTTTTCCATTTTTGTTTTTGATTTAGTTAAAATGAGAATGAGAGAGAAAGAGATAAATGGGAGAATGAGAGAGAGTGATAAATGGGAGAATGAGAGAGGGATACATAAATGGTAGAATGAGAGAAAGAGATAAATGGGAGAATGAGAGACAGAGATAAGATTTCTCAAGTTTTTTATTTTTCGGCTTTTTGATATCTGTTTTTTCAATTTTTAGTTTTCACGATTTTTCAATTTTTCGATTTTTTGAAAATTCGATTGTCACATTGTTAAATTTTTTGATTCTTCGATTTCTTAATGTTTTTAATTCCTCGCTGTTTGAGTCCTTCGATTTTTCTATCTTCAATTTTTCGAATTTTTAAATTTCCGATTTCTGGATTTCCCGATTTTTCAGTATTTTGATTTGTGACTTTCTCGATTTTTCAGTTTTTCGCTATTTCTGCACTTAAATTTTAAATTTTTGGATTTCTCGATTATTCTGTTTTTCAATTTTTCGAATTTGTTGATTTTGAGCCTGTAATTGTGATTTATGATTCCATTAAATTTTTTTTAGAATTGCATATACAGGGTGACCCAAAAAAATTAATGAATAGGTGAATTTATTTAATTGATTTAATCAGAAACTACAAAACCGAATGCTTTGAAATCTTGGAGATGTATTAAAGTCATCATAAGTAGTAAATTTTTAAACAAAATGTATTTGCTCATCCCCCCTAAAAAATAGACGACGTCACCTCAAAATTTTGCCGAATAATTCTGTCTAAAATGTGCAAAATCAGACTATACTTGCAATTAACATTGCATTCATATTTTTTAGATTTGCATATACAGGGTGATTCAAAAAAAATAAATAAATCAGTCAATTTATTTTATTTAATAAATCAAAAATTGCAAAAATGTGGATATCAACAAAAAATTTTGAAATAGAAATATTCACTTGCCATAAAAAACAATAAAATTTTTCGAAAGAGCTGGATTCGACGATTTATTTAAATTGTCGCCTTCGCGTGGTTGCACTTCGTCCCGACTCTGACACTGACTCACAAAATCGCACTTATCGCCCAATCGAAAAGGTCGTCGCATCAATCACGCAGATCTTTTAATTGTGCCGTAAGTGTGGGTCGGCTAATTTTCGAAAAGCTATTTTAAGCCGAGCAAGCGTTGCATAATCGCCGTTTCCTTATCACAAAGAGAATTTCACGCCTGTGAAATCTGATTGCACCTTGTTTTTTTCGCTCAAGTGCTCGTGGATTAGGCAGATGAGCTGATATCGATAATCCGTTAATTAAAAGAACAAAGTAATCTTGAAAAAGCACCTGGTTTATCAATTACATTATGAGCCAAACAAAAATATCAAAGTATCACACTGTTTATGCTTGAAATGTTCTAGATGTGAATTCAAGAATGACGGAATTTCAATCCGTACTTCTAAGTACATGTTAATCCTCCGGAGATTACCGTGATTGATGCTAGTTATAAAAGACGAGAATGATGCTACAGATCGCAGTTTAATAGTATAATTATGGCACGCCGAGTAGTATTTTTGCTCGTTTTCTTTGTGGTTTTTGTTTTGGCATCTTGTCTTGACAGTAGGTAAAACAGTTAAAAAGTTTGAAAAATTATTCATTTTGATTTTCATTTTAGAAACAAGAGCTGCTGGAGGAGTGCAAGTTAGAGATGAAGATGTGAGTAGAAAAGAAACAATGTGTGTAAAATTAGACTAATAATAATTTTTGTACAGATTCGATACTCGAAAGAGTTTTACTACGAGCTTCTTCTCTATATAAAAGAACATCACCTTATGGATTTGGATGATTGTCCTCACTGGCAGTGTTTTGACGAACACACGTGTGTAGATCTATGCGATGCTGGACTGTGGCCTTAATATTTTTGTTTAACATTGTTTAATTAAACTTATAATAAAACTATACGTGTTACTGGTGACGAACAAATCACTCGTTTCAATGCTCGATTAAGTGATTACATTTTCAGGACATATTTTGTGACTCACACAATGTTAAAATTAGTGATGATGTAATAAAATTTAATGTGTAATATTTAATACTCCTATATTTTATCTATTTCTTTTTTTTTTGTTTTACATGAATTTCTACTTTATTTTTTTTAATGGTCAGAAGGCGTTGCACGCCTAGCCTGGATGCCCTTAACTGTCTTCTTAAGTCCCACCTAGAAAAGAAAACCAATTTTAAAAATGTAAAAATTCGAATACCAAAAAATTCAAAAAATGTTTTAAAATTGAAACATTGCAAAAACGGAAAATAAAGTCGAAAAGTAAAAATATCGAAAATCGAAAATTGTTAAATAGAAACCTCAAGAAATCAAAAAATTGAATAGCAAAAAAATGAAAATTCGAATAAGACGAAAATTTCAGAAATCGAAAAATCGAAAACAAAATTGGAGTTTGAAACTTGAAAAATCTAAAATTCGAAAAATCAAAAATCGGAAATAAAAAATTCCAAACATTGAAAATCGAAAAGGTGGAAAGCGAAAAGTCAAAAAGTAAAAATTCTAAAACTGAAAAATCGAAAAATCGAAAAATGGAAAAAACGAGAAATCGAAATTTCGAAAAATGGAAAAATCAAAAACAAAAAACGAAAACTTGAAAATTCGATTAATTAAAAATTTAAAAAATCGGCAAATCAAAAATTCGAAAAATGGAAAATCGAATATTCGGAAAATTGAAAATTTAGAAAATTGAAAAAACGAGACACTGAAAAACCGAAAACTCGAAAATTTTAAATTTCTAAAATCGAAAATTCGATCAATTGAAAATCGTGAAATTAAAACGTAGAAAATCAAAGTTTTAAAAACTGAAGAATTCAAAAATTCGAATAACCGACAATCGAAAAACCAACAACTCGAAAATTAGAAAAATTGAAAAATTGAATACGAAAAGTCGAAGATTCGAAGATCGAAAACCCAAAAATCGAAAATTTGAGAAATCGAAAAATCGGAAACAAAATTGAAAAATCAAAAATTCGAAAAATCGAAAATCGGAAATCAACAATTGGAAACATTGAATATCGAAAAATTGGAAAGCAAAAACTCGAAAAGTAAAAATTAAAAATTCTAAAAACTGAAGAATCGAAAAACTGAAAAACCCAAAATCGAACAATCGATAAACTGAAAATCCAAAAACGGAAAAATCGAGAAATCGAAAAATAGAAAATTCAAATCTAAAATCGAAAATTCAAAAACTCGAATACGAAAATTGAATGAAAAATTTGGAAAAAGAAAATCGAAAATCGAAAATTCGAAAAATTGGAAATAAAAAAAATCGAAAAAACGAGACATTAAAAATTCCGTAAATTGAAAAAATTGAAAAATTAAAACGTAGAAATTCAAAGTTTTAAAAACTGAAGAATTGAAAAATCGTAAATCAAAAATTCGAATAACTGAAAATCGAAAAACCGACAAATCGAAAATTAAAAAAATTTTAAAATCAAATGCAAAAACCGAAAATTGAAAATTTCGAAAAATTGAAAATCTGGAATCGAAAAATTGAAACTTACAAAATCCTAAAAAATGAAAAGCGAAAAATCGTAAATCAAAAATTCGAATAACCGAAATTCGAAAAATTGAAAAATCAAATACGAAAATCGAAAAGTTGAAAAAAGTTGAATCAAAAATGTGAAAAATTGAAAATTGAAATTTCGGAAAATTAGTAATCAATAAATCCAAGAAACGAAAACTTAATGGGAAAATTTGAAAAACGGAAAAATCGAAAATCGAAAAATCGGAAGTCGAAAAATCGGAAAATCAAAAATGGAAAATAAAAATTCGAATAATCGAAAATCGAAGAACCGAAAACTTAAAAATCCAGAAATCGAAAATTTGAGAAATTGAAAAATCGAAAAATAATAAAATTGACGTCTTAAACTTGAAAAACCGAAAATTTGAAAAATTAAAAATTCCAAATCCAAAATTTGATGCACCGAAAATCGAAAAATTCAAAAATCTAGAAATTGTAAAGTTCCGAAAACTGAAATAATGGGAAACCGAAAACTTGAAAAATCGAGATCTCAAAAATTTTTTTTTAATCGAAAAATGTAAAACTAAGAAACTGAAAAGCTCTAAAAACGTATAAAATCGAAATTAAAAATAAAAAAATCGAAACATTGAAAAATCGGAAAAGGTTGAATTAAAGAAAAATCGAAATTGAAATATCGAAAATTTCAAAAAAAAATTCAAAAAATTGAAAAACAGAAAAATCGAGAAATCCAAAAATCTAAAATTTAAGATATGCAAAAATAGAGAAAAACTGAAAAATTTAGAAACTCAAATATCAAATCATTGAAAAATTGAAAAACTAAGACTGGGAAATCTAAAATATCAAAAATAAAAACACTGAAAAATCGGGAAATCCAGAAATCGAAAATTTAAAAATTCAAAAAATTGAAGACAGGAAAATCGAAGGACTGAAACAGCGAGAAATTAAATTATTGAGAAATCGAAGAATCAAAAAATTAACAAATTGGCGATCGAATTACCAAAAAATCGAAAAATTGAAAAATCGTGAAAACTAAAAATTGAAAAAAGAGATCAAAAAGCTGAAAAATAAAAAAGTTGAAAAATCTAAATTTTCAAAAATCAACAAAATTGAAAAATTTAAGAATTCGAAAAATTGAAAAACGAAAATCGAAGGACAAAACATTGAGAAAACAGAATATCGAGAAATAGAAGAATTGAGAAGCTCATAAAATTGGAAATCAAAAAATCGAAGAAACGAAAATCGAAAATGGAAAATTTGAAAAACCGAAAAATCGAAAGTCAAAAAGTTCCCAAAACTGAATATTGAGAAACCGAAAACTTGAAAAATCGAGATCTCAAAAAAATTTTTAAATCGAAAAATGTAAAACTGAAGAAACGGAAAAACTCTGAAATTTAAAAAATCAAATAATCGAAAATTTGACAAATCGAAGAAGGTTGAACAAAAAAAAATCGAAATTGAAATATCAAAAATTAAAGAAAAACCGAGATGTCGAAAAATCGGAATTCGAAATATTGGAGTATTAAAAAATTTACATATCCGAAAATCGTAACATTAAAAATCGTAAAATCGAAAAATTGAAAAATCAAGAATTCGAAAAATCAAAAATTTAAAAAGTCAAAAAATTGAAAAACTGAAAAATCCAAAACCAGCAAGTAGAAAAATTAAAAGACTGCGAATTTTAAACATGAAAAAATTGAAAAATTTAAAATCAACAATGCAAAAGTAGCGAAAAACTGAAAAATCGAGAAACTCAAATATCAAATCATTTAAAAAATGAAAAATTTAAGACTGGAAAATCTAAAATTTCCAAAAATCAAAATACTGAAAAATCTGGAAATCCAGAAATCGAAAATTTAAAAATTCGAAAAATTTAAGAGAGAAAAATCGAAGGACTGAAACAGCGAGAAATTAAATTATTGAGAAATCGAAGAATCAAAAAATTGATAGACCGAGAATTCGAAAATTTTAAAAATTGAAAAATTGAAAACCAGAAAATCCGAAATTCGACAAATGAAGAATTGAAAAACTCAAAAATCGAGAAGTTGAAAAGTTCATTCATTAATCGTGAAATTGAGAAATCGAGAATTCGAAAAATCAAGGAAACGAAAAATCAAAACATCAAAAAATTGAAAAATATAGAAATCGGAAATCGAAAAGCTAAGAAATCGAAAAATTGAAAAACGAAAATCGAAGGACAGAACACTGAGAAAACAAAATATCGAGAAATAGAAGAATTGAAAAACTCAAAAAATTGGAAATCAAAAAATCGAAGAAACGAAAATCGGAAATGGAAAATTTGAAAAACCGAAAAATCGAAAATCGAAAAATCGAAAGTCAAAAATCGAAAATTTGGAAAATCGGAAAATCAAAAATGGAAAATAAGAGATTCGAATAATAATCGAAAATCGAAGAATCCAAAAATCGAAAATTCGAAGAAACAAAAAATCGTAAATAAAAAAATCGAAAATTCGAAAAGCCTCAAATGAAAAAATAAAATCGAGAAGTAAAATTATTAAAAATCGAGAGTTCAAAAAATCGAAAATTGTAAAATCGAAGATTCGAAAACTCAAAAATCCAAGAAATTGGAAATTTGAGAAACGGAAAAATCGAAAAGTAACAAAATTGATAAGTCTAAAACTTGAAAAAACGAAAATTTGAAAAATTAAAAATTCTAAATCCAAAATTTCATGCATTGAAAATCGGAAAATTCAAAAATCCAGAAATTGAAAAAGTTCCCAAAACTGAATATTGAGAAATCGAAAATTTGAAATATCGAGATCTCAAAAAAATGTTTAAATCGAAAAATGTAGAATTGAAGAAACGGAAAAACTCTGAAATTTAAAAAATGGAAATTAAAAAATCAAATAATTGAAAATTTGACAAATCGAAGAAGGTTGAACTAAAAAAAATCGAAATTAAAATATCGAAAAATTAAAGAAAAATCGGAAATTCGAAATGTTGAAATTTTAAAAAATTTACACATCCGAAAATCGTAAAATCAAAAATCGGAAAATCGGAAAATTGAAAAATCAAGCATTCGAAAAATCAAAAATTCGAAAAATCAAAAATTGAAAAACTGAAAAATCAAAACCAGCAAGTTGAAAAATTAAATGACTGCGAATTTTAAACATGAAAAAATTGAAAAATTTAAAATCAACAAATTCGAAAAATTGTAAAAGAGAAAAATAGAAAAACTGAAAAATCGAGAAATCCAGAAATCGAAAAGTTAAGAATTCGAAAAATTGAAGAGAAAAAAATCGAAGGACTGAAACAGCGAGAAATTAAATTGATAGACCGAGAATTCGAAAATTTTGAAAATTGAAAAATGGAAAACCAGAAAAATCCGAAATTCGACAAATTGAAAAACTGAAAAACTCAAAAATCGAGAAGTTGAAAAGTTCATTCATTAATCGTGAGATCGAGAAATCGAGAATTCGAAAAATCAAGGAATCGAAAAATCAAAAAATCAAAAAATTGAAAAATATAGAAATCGGAAATCGAAAAGTTAAGAAATCGAAAAATTGAAAAACGAAAATCGAAGGACAGAACACTGAGAAAACAAAATATCGAGAAATAGAAGAATTGAAAAACTCAAAAAATTGGAAATCAAAAAATCGAAGAAACGAAAATCGGAAATAGAAAATTTGAAAAACCGAAAAATCGAAAGTCAAAAATCGGAAAATCAAAAATGGAAAATAGAGATTCGAATAATCGAAAATCGAGGAATCCAAAAATCGAAAATTCGAAGAAACAAAAAATCGTAAATAAAAAAATCGAAAAATCGAAAATTCGAAAAGCCTCAAATGAAAAAATAAAATCGAGAAGTAAAATTATTAAAAATCGAGAGTTCAAAAAATCGAAAATTGTAAAATCGAAGGTTCGAAAACTCAAAAATCCAAGAAATTGAAAATTTGAGAAACTGGAAAATCGAAAAGTAACAAAATTGAGAAGTCTGAAACTTGAAAAAACGAAAATTTAAAAAAATTTAAAATCCTAAATTAAAAATTTTATGCATTGAAAATCACAGAATTCAAAAATCCAGAAATTAAAAAGTTCCCAAAACTGAATATTGAGAAATCCAAAACTTCAAAAATCGAGATCTCAAAAAAATTTTTAAATCAAAAAATGTAAAACTTAAGAAACGAAAAAACTGAAATGTAAAAAATCGAAATTAAAAAATCAAATAATCGAAAATTTGAAAAATCGAAGAAGATTGAACTAAAAAAAATCGAAATTGAAATATCGTTAAATTAAAGAAAAACCGAGATGTCGAAAAATCGGAAATTCGAAATACATATTGGAATTTTAAAAAATTTACTTATTCGAAAATCGTATCATCAAAAATCGTAAAATCGAAAAATTGAAAAATCAAAAATTTAAAAAGTCAAAAAATTAAAAAACTGAAAAATCCAAAACCAGGAAGTTGAAAAATTTAAAATCAACAATGCAAAAGCAGCGAAAAAGTGAAAATTCTAGAAACTCAAATATCAAATCGTTGAAAAATTTAAGACTGGAAAATCTAAAATTTCAAAAATCATAACACTGAAAAATCGGGAAATCCAGAAATCGAAAATTTAAAAATTCGAAAAATCGAAGGACTGAAACAGCGAGAAATTAAATTATTGAAAAATCGAAGAATCAAAAAATTGATAGACTGAGAATTCGAAAATTTTAAAAATTGAAAAATTGAAGACCAGAAAAATCCGAAATTCGACAAATTGAAGTACAATAATACAAATCCAGCTTTTTCGAAAAATTATAAAATTTTATTATGCCAATTTTATTTTTTTTATGTGAACCCTTATTAGTTAAAATACAGATATGTACGTTTTACCATGTACATTTTACCATAAATACAAAATTTGACAACAATCGGCTCCAGTACTTTCGTAGATTATGTGTCTAATAAAAATCCGTGACAGACGGACAGACAGACAGACGGACAGAAGGACAAACAGACGGAAAATGAAGACCTATTTCTTCGTACTATAGGGGTCATGAAGGGTCGAGAAAACGTAAAAGTAGAGAGTAGGGAAGTAAAAAGTTTATTGAATACTTTATAAAATACAGTTTAGGGATGAATTCCGGGATCCGCGAAGTCTATGCACTTGTCCTTCCAGCAGATGACGGTTCGGGCCACTTTCGCCACTTCGTCGTCAGTCACGTCGTTGTAGGTGGAAAAATATTCATAAATTAGGAGCGAGTCTTTATTGCTAATTTCGTAGTTAAACTGAAACAACAAAATTATTATTATTATTTATATGGGTAGGTTACCAACCCCTGGATATCGTGAACTTTGCTCCTTCTGCGCCAGCTCGTACCCTTTGTGTAGGTGGTACCTGATGAACTCGCTCCTGTCTGCAAAACCTCGACATTCACAAAACCGAAAACCCGGCCAAAGATTTACCATTTTCGTTGACCCTCTGCAAGATCCTGTAGATTCGCTGCGCCGCCGTCAGGTGGCGCCCAGTGTCGGGGTCGGCGGCAACTGCCACCGCAAGTACCGCAACGGCGAGGGTCGCACACCACACTCTCATTTTGCGCGTTTACGGAATTTTGGGTCCACTGCGCTTATAAAAGGGCCAATAATCCTTATAAACCGTAGGTTTTGGAGCGTCTGGTGTTGATTTATGGGGCTCTGACAGCTAATCATTGTTTTAAGAGGGAAGATTTATGGCTGGTGTGGATAAATCCGACTTAAGTGTTTTGTCGAATTTTTACAAGAGTGTTGACGTTTTGCGTCATTTTTTTTTAATGTGAGATGAATGTGTCGTCTTGTGTATGCACATTGTAAGCTTACGAAAGATTTAAATGCGCTTTAAAGCGGTCTGATTTTATGGCGGCATTAACTCGCGCAAATTCAAATGTTTTATTATGCTATAAGAGTGGAAGGCTTACCTGCTTTCTGTTCCTTATTGCGGCTATAAGTTTTGATGTCTACGATTCCGTTTAAGCGATAGCTTTATGTCGGGATGCGGGGGCCAAGTTAAATTTCTTGATAAATAGGGGCTTGGGTGGTGTACGACGAACTCGGGTTGCATTATTATTAAAAAAAAAAAAAACATAAATCCATATAATAGTTGTGGATTAATTGAATTGGTTGAATGCTAGATCGAAAATAATTAATAAAGCTTATAAAACGATAAGAATAACTGCAAAAAAATTAATGTAATTGGGTTATGTACCTATAGGAAATAAATTATTATTATTATTATTATTATTATTATTATGAATATATAGAATCCTACACTTGTCGTTTATGAATCCGAGTTGAGTTTTTACCTTAGACACCCAGACTTGTAAAAAAAATAAAGTTGTGTAACAACATTTTTCCATTTAACTTCGTAGTGCAAAACCGATTGCTCTGAAATCTTATTTACGTTTTAAGGTCACAGATTCATCGAATTTTCCATTTTTGCAATATTCTACTTCTCAGTGTTCGGTTTTTCGATTTCCCGATTTTCGAACTTACAATTTTTCAAATTTTTGATTAATCGAATTTTCAAGTTCTCGATTTTCGTATTCGATTTTTGATCTTCATATTTGATTCTACAATTTTTCGATTTTAGGTTTGAATTTTCGATTTTTTTGTTCTTCGATTCTTGAATTTTTAAATTTTTTTACTTTTACTTTTTGATTTTTCGCTTCCCAATTTTTGATTTTTCGAATTTTCGATTTTTTAAGGTTCAGACTTCAATTTTGTTACTTTTCGATTTTTTAATTTAACAAATATTCGAGTTTTGAATTTTCAATTTTTCGAATCTTCGATTTTTCAATTATTTCACTTTTCAATTTCAGTTTTCAATTTTTGGATCTTTCAATTTTTTGTTTTTTAATTTTTTGATTTCTTGAAGTTCCAGTTTTACAATTTTCAATTTTTTTATTTCCTTATTTAGGATTATTTTGTTTCTTCAAATCTTCGCTTTCTGCATACGCTTTTTCAATTTCTCGTTTCTAGATTTTTCGATTTTGAACGTTTCAAATTTTCGATTTTTGGTATTTCGAATTTTCGATTTTTCAAGTTTTAGACTTTTCAATTTTGTTACTTTCCGATGTTTCGATTTCTCAAATTTTCGATTTGTGGATTTTGATTTTCCAAATCTTCGAATTTTCAATTTTTTACTTTTCGAGTTTTCAATTTTTCCATTTTCAGTTTTTGGACCTTTCAGTTTTTTGCTTTCAATTTTTTGGTTATCTGAAGTTTTAATCTTACAATTTTCGATTTTCAATATTTTTACTTTTTGATTTTATTTTTCAAATTGCGGTTTTTCGAATTTTTGATTTGTTGATTTCTTTATTCATAAAATTTTTACATTTTTCGATTTTCGAATTTTCGAATTTCCGATTTTCGATTTTCAAGTTTTTGATTTTCGTATTCGATTTTTCGAATTTTCGATTTTAGATTTGAATTTTCAATTTTTCGGTTTTTCGATTTCTTTATTTTTCGATTTTTCAGTTTTTAGAATTCTCAGTTTTTACTTTTCGATTTTTCGGTTTCCAATTTTTCGATTTTCATTGTTCAAATTTTCAATTTACGATTTTTGGTTTTTTGAATTTTTGATTTTTCAAGTTTTAGACTTTTCAGTTTTGTTATTTTTCGATTTTTCAATTGTTTACTTTCCGCTTTTCAATTTTTTGATTTCTTGAGGTCTCAGTTTAACAAAATTCGATTTTTCGAATTTTCAATTTTCAATATTTTTCCTTTCGATTTTATTCTTTGAATTGTAGTTTTTCAATTTTCGATTTTTCGATTGATTTATTTAGGATTTTGTTTCTTCGAATTTTCGATTTTCGATTTTCATATTCGATTTTTCAATTTTTCAAATTCTCGTTTTTAGATTTTTCGATTTTTCGATTTTCTTAAGTTTTCGAATTCCCGATTTTACGAATGTTCGATTTTCGGTTTTTGGATTTTCGATTATACGAATTTTTGATTTTCGATTTTTGATTTTTCGATTTTTGCGAATTTTAAATCTAGACTTTTCGTTTTTAGGTTTTTCAAATTTTCGATTTTCGATTTTCGTTTTTCCGAATTTTCGATTTTAAATTTTCGAATTTTTGATTTTCAATTTTTCGAATATTTAATTTCTCGATTTTCGAGAGAATAAAGAAATCAACAAATCAAAAATTCGAAAAACCGCAATTTGAAAAATAAAATCAAAAAGTAAAAATATTGAAAATCGAAAATTGTAAGATTAAAACTTCAGATAACCAAAAAATTGAAAGCAAAAAACTGAATTTTCTATTTTTCGGCTTTTTAATTTTCGATTTATATATTTTTCGATTTTCGATTTTCGTTTCCGATTTTTCAATTTTTCCATTCCTCGTTTTTAAATTTTTGATATTCGAGTTTTCGATTTTCCAATTTTTCGATTTTTCGACTTTTCGATTTTCGGTTATACGAATTTTCCGAATTTCGATTTTTCGGTTTTTCAAATTTTTGATTTCCGATTTCCATTTTTCGATTTTTTGAATTCCAATTTTCTGAATTCTCGATTTTCAACTTTTCGAATTTTGGATTTTCAAATTTTTGATTCATCGAAGTCTCCAGTTGTCGATTTTCTTATTCGATTTTCGGTTTATCAATTTTTCAATTCTTCAGTTTTTAGAATATGTATTTAATTTTTACTTTTCGATTTTTCGTTTGCCAATTTTTTATTTTCAATGTTTCGAATTTTTGCTTTCCGATTTTTGATTTTTCGATTTTTCAAGTTTTATACTTTTCAATTTAGTTATTTTATCGATTTTTCAATTTCTTAATTTTTTTTAATACATATTTGAATTTTCAAATTTTTGATGTTTCGATTTCTCAATTTTTCTAATTTTCAATTTTTCGGTTTCTCAATTTCTCGATTTTTATATTTTCCGATTTTTCGCTTTTCGGTTATTCGAATTTTTGATTCACTATTTTTCATTTCTTTAATTTTTAAAATTTTCGATTTTCATCCTCGATTTTCCATTTTAGAATTTTAGAATTTTTTAATTTTCAGTTTTTCGTGTCTCGATTTTTCGATTTTCAAATTTTCTTCAGGTTTTAAAATTTCCAGTTTTATTCTTTTTGGTTTTTGATTTCTGATTTTTCAAATTTTCGATTTTTCCATTTTTTTTACTTTTCGATTTTATAGTTTTCGGACTTTCAATTTTTCGGTTTTTGGATTTTCGACTTTTCGAAATTTTAATTTTCAGTAGTTTTAATTTTTGGATGTTTCGATTTTTCAATTTTTCCATTCTTCAATTTGTCGATCTTTCATTTTTTTGCTATTCGATATTTTGATTTTTCGATTTTTCCGAATTTTCGATCTTTTGACTTTCAATTTTTCGATTTTCGATTTTTAGGTTTTTCAAATTTTCGACTTCCGATTTTAGTTTTTTCCAATTTATGATTTCCAATTTTCCGAATTTTCGATTTTCAATTTTTTGAATTTTTGATCTTCAATTTTTCGAATTTTTTATTGTTCTTTATGAAGTTTTCGATTTTTGAGAGAATTGAATTGATTTTTCTATTTTTCGGCTTTTCCATTTCTCGACTTTTCGATTTTCGAATTTTCAGTTTTTCGATTCCTCAGTTTTTAAAATTTTTAATTTTTCTTTTCCATTTTTTTATTTACGATTGTTTGTTTCATCGAATTTTCGATTTTCGTATTCGATTTTTCAATTTTTCGATTTCTCGTTTTTAAATTTCTGATTTTCGAGTTTTCGATTTTCCAATTTTTAGATTTTTCGACTTTTCGATTTTCACTTTTTCGATTTTCGGTAATTCTCGATTTTCAACTTTTCGAATTTTCGATTCATCGATGTCTCCAGTTGTCGATTTTCGCTTTTGATTTTTCGATTTTCAAATTTTCTTCAGGTTTTACCAGTTTTATTCTTTTTGATTTTTGTTTTCTGATTTTTGATTTTTGTTTTCTGATTTTTCAAATTTTCGATTTTTCAATATTTTACGCTTGTCAATTTTTTTACTTTTCGATTTTGCGGCTTTTGGATTTTCGATTTTTCGAGTTTTGGATTTTGGACTTTTCGAAATTCTAATTTTCAATAGTTTTAATTTTCGATATTTCGATTTTTCAATTTTTCCATTCTTCAGTTTGTCGATCTTTCAATTTTTCTGTTATTCGATATTTTGATTTCTCGAGTTTTCAATTTTCCAATTTTTGATTTTTCGATTTTTCCGAATTTTCGATTTTTTGACTCTCAATTTTCCGATTTTCGATTTTTCGGTTTCCAGATTTTTGACTTCAGATTTCCCTTTTTCGATTTTTTGATTTCCAATTTTCTGAATTCTGAATTTTCGAATTTTCGATTCATCCTTGAAGTCTCCAGTCGATTTTCGTATTCGATTCCTCGATTTTTCGATTTTTAGTTTATCGATTTTTCAATTTTTCAGTTTTTAGAATATCTAATTTTTACTTTTCGATTTTTCGTTTGCCAATTTTTCGATTTTCACTGTTTCGAATTTTCAATTTTTTTACGTTTCAAATATTTGATGTTTCGATTTTTCATATTGAATTTTTCAATTTTTCGGTTTTTCGATTTTTCAATTTTTAGATTTCCCGATTTTCCGACTTTCGGGTATTCG